TAGTCAGGAAGAAAACATTGGCTGATGCAATAATCCTATATGATTGAATTTTCTATGTGCTTTCCAGTTCAGCTGTCAAATCCTGATTTCAATTCAAAAATGCGTAAATCGTATTTTTACCTGTTTTTTCTTGAGTTTTTTACATAGAAGATGACATTATAAGTTGGAAGACGCAAACGCAAACCAATGTACATTTTTGATCATTCTACCAGGTTTCATTGTCAAATAGTCATTGAATTGTGAAAAAAGGAAAAACCTTAATGGAATGCTTGGCTAACTCAAAAACCTTGTACCTTGTTACTCATATGGTGGATTGAGTCTTTGAATTCTTGAATTGACGAACTTATGATATCCTACTGTAAACATGTCTAAAATTCTACAAATTGGGTGAACATATCCTTTTCCGATTTTTGGCAATTTTCCGAAACAAGAAATCATGATTTTGACATCGAAAGTGAGAAGGACGTAAAGCACATACATTGGTTACTATGGTACCCAACTATTTCCTTTCCTGACCCACAGTTGCCAAAAATTAAAGAAAGTCAGAGAAAATGTGTTTTTTTCGTATTTTGGCACTTTTCAGGAAAACAAATATTGGGTGAAACCTGAAAGAATGGACAAAAAACATAATTATGTTCATCGAGTTTTAAAATTGGTCCACTCATGAGTATGTTTGAGATGTAAGAAATCGATGAAAATACGATTTTTTCCGATGTTTGGCGATTTCTCGGACAAGAAATGATTGACTGACAATGGAACTAAAAAAAAAAAAATGCTCAAGAGCATATATCTACAAGGGATTACTGTTAGTCACGTATTCCCACCTTACCAAAACCTTAAAGTTGAAGAAAATAACCGAAAATTCAGTTTTCCTGTTTTCGAAATTTTCCGGGAGAAATCAAAATTTTGACCACCTGAGATAATGGACACAAATACGTATGGTTGCCGAGTTTTTTAATTTAGTCAACTTATGATATCCTACGTTTAAAATGTCAATAATTGACAAATTATTGAAAATGCTTTTTTCCCGATTCTTTCACGATTTGTTAGTGGATCTGAAAGGAAAGCGAGAAGGTACTGATATACAGTGGATTCTTGAGTTTTCGAAATTTTCATTACATGACCTAAAATTTGAAAAGAAAACAACTTCAAAAAACTTTTTTCTCGAACGGTTAATTAGCATATAACCATGAAGCCTAGGTATTTTCAAAATTTTCTGAGCAAATTGCGCCGGTAAAAAATATTTTCAAATAAACATGTTTTTGAAGTTGGGTGGCACCATCGACCTGAAAATTTGACTAAGGTGATTTGACAAAATATACTTTACTAATTACAATTTTTTCCGCATTTGGATACCTCTGGGGACACTTTTCATAGGTAGTATTGCTTATAGCCTTTTTCTTGAACCTCTATATGTTTCGCTAAAGGACTTTCATACGCACGTTTTAAAGATCCTTCCGTATTTTTCAGACCTGCCATAGAATTATTCTTGTTTAAATTTATTATACCTTTTTAAATAAATGTATTCTATTCCGGTCACTTCGGTCGTGCGTTGCCCGAAAATCCGCACTAACCTTGAAAAATGTGCACCCGCATATCTCCCGTGCGACGTGACGCTAGCCGCATCCAGCTAGCAGCATTCCCACTCCCCAATTTGCCATATTGGGCTGAATCATCATACCGTGAAATAGACGGAAATGGGTATGCGGCGAACGTTGCGTAAACGACGGCAAATAATGCAATAACGCGATTAAGCGCCGCGGAACCTGCTGGAAGCGTCATAATATAAAAGCGGCCTAACAAAGGACTGTGATTGTGATTAATAATATGAACAAAACTTTGCGACTATGGCAAGGCGCCAAACTTGAAATTCGTCTTTATTTTACTTTCCAGGTATTATGGAAGCAGAGGTAATTGAATACGAGATAATAGGTACGTCGCGCAACAAAAACGGCATCAAGTAGGCAGACTATTTGCTATCGCGTAAAATTGAGGTATGTACCTATTGTTCCGCGAAGGCTTTCAAATTTTCTGACAACAAGTTTGGATATCTTATGGTATCTGCGTTACGAATATCCGTTGCTCATTTCCATTTTTTGTATTCGGGGGTTCAATATAAAAAGGACTAGTTTTGAAAACATACGTTCACTGATACTGGCACCAACTGAAGACTCCGGTAATGAGTGTTAGAGTAAATTTTACCGGCTTACTTGACACAGCCGCAGTAGTAACGTGTAGAGGGGAAACTGTAGATTAGAAGTGGAGTATATGGCACCTTGGGTAATACGCCGCAGCTCAATATTTCCTTTATAAATCGGTATATTGCATCGAAAGACGAGTATTTAACAGTGTTTGGGAAAAAATACGAAAATACAAGGTATGTGCATTCTTAAAATTATTTTGTGTAAAGAAGATGCCACGAAATTACACCAAGAAAAGTTCGAGGGCCATGTGGTCAGCAGAAGATCTGACAAATGCAATCTCAGATGTTAGAAATAGTCGTGGTTCAGTAAGGCATATTTGTCGAATCTATTCTGTGCCTGTTAGAACCTTAATGAGGAGAATGCAATCAGGAAACGCAAATAAGGTCAACTTAGGTTGTAAGAGTTATCTATGTCCAGAATATGAACGAAGCTTTGTAGAATACATCCAAAAATGGAGAAGATGGGTGTTGCGCTAACATCTGTACACGTAAAAAAGATTGCGTACTCATTTGCTTCTCAGAGGTAGTAGCATAAAAACGAGAGAAAAAAGAAGCCAAAGAAAAAAATATCTACGAAACTGATGACAGCCCGACAACGAATGAAAAAACGGATGACAAACAAAAAAGCAATAGGAAAAGGTGGAAAATAACAAAAAGCTTGCGAAAGAGAAAAGTCGTAGAAGTGCCCTATTTGATTATTATAGTTCGTCCGAAAGCGAAACAGAAGTAGCTACACTGGAAAGTGCTGACTCAGAAATAGAAGTAGACCATTCCGAAATTTGTGCAGAGTGCGGTGGATATTGTTTCGACAAGAAGGATCCCAAATGCAACTGGATACAATGTACTAGGCATTCAGACTGGGTCCATGAATTCTGCACAAGATCTGACTTATTCTGCGAGGGCTGCCTCCCACAACAGCTGACAAACGATATTGAATGGAACAATTGAATATTTATTTTCTATTTTAGTGTAGGATTATTTTGTTATTTATTTAATATATGTCAACCTATTTCAGGTTATCTTTGGTTTCAGATTAGGTTTATTTATTTATTGATATGTTAATAAACATTTCTTTAAAAATATATTTGTTTATGTTTTATTTTTCATAAATTGCATGAATCCTTATGAGAATCACATGTTGCCGTATTTCCCATTGTCCTATACCATAATACCCTAATGCTGGGGAAATATAGCAATTTGTCATTAATCGAGAGTTTTGTTTTCTATTAGACCTATAGCGAAAAACGAATTCACTAAACTATACCTCATACTGTATAGCCACTCTAGCCAGTTCCGTTGCAAAGCTGAATGGACAGAGTATTGATTTATGGTCCGTTATGTGTTTTGCAGTGGTTTTAAAGTACATGTTAATAATTGATATACGCTCAAGACCAAAATAAACACAATACGCAAAATGCAGTTAATTTTCATTTCCAACTTCACGTTGATTATTTTTTCAGCAGTCCATAGGTCCATTACTGCTTTGGCTTTAATTTGCTTATCTAATTTCTAGATGGCGGCCATCTTTTGCCTTATTATACAGGGTGATTCCAAATCATGTTCCATTACTAGGACTTTTAGCCATCCTCTGGTATGACTTTATTAGCTTATCAAACCGCAATGCTTTCCACTGTCCAGAATCGTATTTTCTCCATAATCTGCTTTTTTATCCATGTCAAAATGTAAAGTGGTTGAAATTTTAGATTCAACTTAGGTTTTTACCACTAATTTGCCGTATTCCTTTTATAATTTTTTTAATTCCTAGCACGATTCCGAAAATTATCCATTTCAATGCATTTTGCGTTGCGTGCAAGTTTTTTTTTATACCGTCTTTCATTTCGTTTTTCTAAAAGGGTCGAAGAAAGTGAAAACTTTGTCCTAACCTTAGAACACCCATTGCAACAATTTCGTGTTCTAACCTTCTGAATTGCAATTAGGGCATTAAACAAACCTTCCTTATTGCACAAATTTTAATCAGCATTATACTATCTTTTTATGTGTGGAAGAACGACTTAAGCATACTCTGCATCATACAGAGCTGTTCATTTTCAAATTCCATATTGAAGTTGATAGTCTATATCAGGGTTTTTCAACCTTTTCTTTTGTTGAGGCTCCCCGGACTATAAATTATATTTTCATGCCCCCCTTTTCTTTTTCAATAAATACAAAAAAGACACATTATATAGTACAAAGACTTTTATTTTAATTCTGATAAAGAAACTTTAAAAGTTTAAATAAACTAATAAATGTTTTTTATCGAAAACTTGAATAAAATAAGAGTAGGTACTAATGAGAAACTTGAGATTGCATGTTCTGTACCAGTTAGTTGATTCTAGGTTCTGTTTTTGCTAGAGCTATCATCAAGTCGATATCGACATCAAGGCGATTTCGCTGTTTAGTTTTAATTAAAACTAGAGCAGAAAAGCCTGTATCACATAAGTAAGTTGAAGAAAAAGGAACTAGTATTCGTAAAGCAAGAGAGGCAAGTATCGAATATTAACAGGCAATCAACCTCTTGATCCAAAATTTCTCCAATGTTGCAAGATGGACGTCGTCTTTCATGGACAAATCAGCCTTCATTAGTAAGTAAGTTGAAGAAAAAGGAACTAGTATTCGTAAAGCAAGAGAGGCAAGTATCGAATAACAGGCAATCAATCTCTTGATCCAAAATTTCTCCAATGTTGCAAAATGGACGTCGTCTTTCATGGACAAATCAGCCTTCATTTCTAGAAATATTCCTGAACTGCTTCTGGTAATTGTGACACATCGACAACAAATGGATTTCTTGTCATGTGCCCTATTGATGTCTCGATAGTATCGGCGCAATTCGTCTTCCAGCGTTGCAAATGAGCTTTTTAATTTGTGTCCAGTATGTTATTTTTAATTGCTTCAAACAGCCGAGAAAAACATATAACATTATCAGAAGACACTTTTTGATTCCAAAGTTGAAGCTTTGATATGAACCCTGAATATAACCGTAATTGCTTATTATAATGTTGTTTCTGCTCTGAAGTTTCAAGTTTGGCTCATTCAAGGAGTCAAATATGTCAGTTAAATAAGCCAACCTCCATTGAAATGTGTAATTTTTGAACATCAAGAAATCGTGTTTTTCTTTGGACTCAAGAAAAAGAGCCTCTTCTTTCAATTTATAAAGGCGATCCAAACATGTTGCCTTTGGACAGCCAGCGTACTTCTGTGTGGAACAGAAGAACTTTGTGATCAGAATCGAGATCCTCGCAAGTAAAGTAAATAACCGACTGTTCAAAGCGCTGCTCTTGTTGTAGTTTACAATCCTTATAGCCGAGTACAAAGTCTGGCGTAATTTCTGTGGCAATGTTTTGGAAGCCAAAGCTTGAAGATGAATAACACAATGTGTACTAACCATTGCGTAATCTTTTTCCTTGAGCTTTTTAGCTAATCCCGATTGTACACCTATCATTGCAGGTACGCCATCTGTGCAAAGTCCAATAAGTTTCTTCTAAACCAAATCATTTTGTTTAACAAAATTTGATATTGAATTAAATATATCTTCAGATGTAGTACCTGCTGCCAAAGATCGGGAGTACAAAATCTCTTCTTGAATGATATCTCCGCCGATGTAACGAACATAAACTATTAACTGGATTCATAGCAACTAATGGCAAAAATGGTGATACTATGAGGTTTCTTTTGCTTTGCTATCATAAAAGCTATTTCAAATGAAGCTTTGAGATGCTGCGATACACCTGTGTGATAACTTCCCGATTTATTCAGTCTCATCCGCTTGTGTGATTCTGCTTTAGAAGAAAAAAACTCACTCGTCTTCAAAACCTGAGTAGGATGTTGTTGCTTCAAATGCCTTTCAAGGCGATTAGGCCTCATGCTATCATTACTTAAAACTTTCATACATATCACACACTGAGGCAATTGTAACTCGTCTTCTTCTTTGAAGATAAATCCAAACTCAACATAATCTTCGGAAACTTTCTTTTTTTCGCTGCCATTTTGCACCTATAACAATACGACAAATAAGTAATAAATAAATAAGCGAAATACCTACATGTAATTACTAATTACATGCCCATTATTTTATATTAATACAGTACAATAATACAATACAATATATTACAAAGTGATGGCGATATATACAGTGGTTTTATATATTACACTAAAATAAAACATGTTTGTTTACTTTTTCTTATGTGGTAGCTAGATAACTTAATATCCATATGCACCAATCTTAAATAATGTGTAATGTAACATTTTAATAATAAAATAGTAAAATAATAAAACAAAATAAATCAAGGTCAAATAATTATTTGACAATCTATATATTATCATGTGTATATAAAATTTCTAATTAGTTTTCGTAAATTGTTAGTTAACCTAAGCACATGTTGCTTCCATTTAAGATTTTGATCTATTATTACACCAAGGTATTTCGTGTATTACCTCTTTTATTTCATTTTCAAAACCGTTTACTTGTATGCTGTTAAAATTTGGTCGATTTGCAGATGTTAAGGAAAAGGCTGTGTAATTAGTTTTATCCACATTTAAACTAAGTTTAGATGAATCAAGCCAAACATTTTATTTTTTCTAATCTAAGAGATGTTTTTTCATATACCTCTCCCATGTTCCGCCACAAAGACCACGACGGTGTCATCAGCGTATGAAACCACCATACCATTTCTAGAATAATATCTGTCAAAGAGCTTATATATAATATACATAGTAATGGCCCAATAACGGTGCCCTGTGCTATGCCCATTTCTATTTCTGATGAGTCACTGATCACATTTCCGATCTTAGTTATCTGTATTCTACCTGTCAAGTAACTCGCAAAAACCTCCGACACAACACCCCTGTTCCCAAAAATATCGAGAACATCTAGAAGGACACTCTGTCAAATGCGATTGCAAGGTCTAGGAAGAACGCAATGCATTTCTTTCCTTGATCAAGATTTTTCCAAATGATTCTTGTAAGCTTAAGTATCGCATCTGAGGTACTGATGCCATTGCGAAAACTAAATTGATTTTCTGACAAAACTTTACAGGCGTCCCTCGTTTTACGCGGGGGTAACGTTCTTTGAAAACACCGCACGCGTAAAAGGAAACCGGATATTTCGAAACAAACACATTTTATTACATAAATTTTTGTTAAATACATAATATACATAGGTATGTTTGTACATATTATGTATGAGAACATTAAACGTTAATTTTTTAACAAAAATATTAATTTTTAGAAAAATAAGACGTAATTTTTGACTGTTTAGCTTCGTTACGTAAATTCTTCTCAACTTCCTTGTATGGTGCCAATGCTGCAAAAACCTCTGGTTTAGTTTTTAAACTTCTTTCCTTGTAGGATCTTCCCTGATTAACAGCTCGGTGAGATCGTGTGCCATGGTAAAACATTTATTAAGCGTTTTCAACGTCAACTCCTTTGGTGCCGGGACTACTTCATCATCTTCACCTTTTTCTTGAGCTTCATAATTGTTCTCCGTCAGTTCTATGAGTTCTCTTTCAGTGAGTTCAACATTATGCGATTCAAATAGCTGATTTATATCGTCCTCATTCATATCATCGAATCCCTCTCCAGGTAATGACTTTCCTAAATCAGCAATTTCTTTGATTTCGTCTCTGATATCAGGCATCTTCGCATGAGACTTCACAATTTCTGGACATAAGTTTTTCCAGCAACCATTTAATGTCGATTTTTTAAGTTCACCAATCGTTCTTTAATATTATGTAGGCAATCTGCAATTGTGTAATCCTTCCAGCATTGGCTTAATGTTTTTGTAGAGTCACGTTCAAGTTTTCTAACAGCATTTTAAACGTGCGTCGCGTGTAAGTAAGCTTTGTAGATGGCAATGATTCCCTGATCAAGAGGCTGTATTATTGATGTGGTGTTTGGTGGAAGAAATTCTACTCGAACGGATTTATTTCCTGTAAACGGGCGGCTGGGTGACCAAGGGCATTATCTATGATAATAACACCTTAAATTCAAGATTTTTTGACGTCAAATAACGTTTAACCTCTGGTATAAAACAGTTCTCAAACCAGTCTAAGAAAATGTCTCATGTTACCCATACATGACCATTGGCACGCCAAAACACAGGCAATTTATTTTTATCTTTTTTTTTGAAGCACGGGGATTCAATGACTTGTACACTAATAAAGGCTTAATCATACAATCTCCAGAAGCATTTGAACAAAGCAAAAGTGTGAGACGATCCTTTCTACTTTAAAGCCCTTTGGTCTTCTCCTCTTTTGATAAAAATGTACGGTTTGGCATCTTTTTAAAACAAGCCAGTTGCGTACGCGTTAAAAACCTGCTCAGGTTTAAAACCTTCTTCTTCAATGATTTTTAAAAGTTGCCCAGGATATTCCCTACAAATCAGGTCATGCCTGATTGCAAGTTGAAACCACGGGGTGACGCGATGCAACCGCGAAAATAAATCACTGGGGTCAAAAGCGCAAACGCGTATAAGCGAAACCCCGTATAAATATGCCGCGTAAAACGAGGGACGCCTGTACTAGATAAAAAGTTTGATAATGTCTCTTTAACACACTTTTCGAATATTTTAGCGAAATTCGTAATGACTCCAATTGGACGAAAATTTGTAATTTTAGTTTTATCCCCAGATTTATATATTGGGGTAACAATAGTTTTTACAGCATTGGGGTACACAGCCAGTTTTAAAAATTAGATTTATGATGTATACTAATGGCTCAATTAAGTACAAATGATATTGCTTTATAATTTTCGTTTGTATTCCATCAAAACCGGGTGAACAGTTGTTTTTCAATGCACTGATTGATATGTTTTATAATCTCATTTCTATTAACAGGCTTTAAAAACATGGAACTGAATGATTATATTTAATTTTGAGGGGAATATCAGGGGGTTTTATTTTGCAAGCCATTTTCTTCCCTACATTAATGAAAAAATTGTTGCAGTATTCAGTCATTTGTTTATCATTTGTGAATGTTTTGTTATTATCTTGACTAATTTCAATTTTGCTAGAATGTTTACTTTTTTCATTAACAGCATCAGAAATAATTTTGTAAATCTTTTTAAAATCGTGTTGATTTTCATTGATTTGTTCCTTATAATAGTTAAATGTTTATTTATTAATTATTTTATTTAGGTTGTTTCTGTAGTTTACATACGTATCCCTATCCAATAAGTTATTATAATAACGTAATGTGTTCAACAGTATATTGGCCACCGGGAGATTTATATTTTTGTAGGCAGGTTGACGTTATAGTGGTAATTTAAAACACATTTGGAATCAATATTAGGTACCTAAAGTTCGTCGTTTCAAAATTATTTCGCCACGTTGGTTTGATTGTGATGTGGTATAAAAGTCCCAATGGCCGATCTATGAACACGTCTCCACTCAATCAACAATTTAGTAAATTAAAAAAAATACAAAGGTACATTTTAACAGTGAGACACAATAATTTGACACACTCAAACAGATTTCTCAACAAAACATGTACATCGAAACGTCAAATTTTTTGCAGCTCGTGGAAATTAATGTCACAGATGCTCATCCGCGTCTGGTAGGTACACAGTTGTTTTCTAAGTGATGAATGTTAAGCAGAGCCCGGCGAGGGTGCGCGCGGATTTCATGTTGTGACTTGTCGAAACTTGTATAAACTGCGATTGACGACGTCGGGTTCTGAAACAGTGGTTGACAATAAGTGAATATGATATTTAATTTCTAATTTTATGCGTGTAAATTAAATATTACATTGTAACGTTACTTGTTTGTTAATGTTGTTTATTTATTTTGTTTTTTCTTTCTAAAATGCAAACGCTTTCCGACCCTTTGAAATCTCTCTATGCCCCCCTTGGGAGGCGCGCCGCCCTGGTTGGGAACTCATGGTCTGGATGATTTAGATAGACGCGACAAGAAGAGGATAAGATCATATCATGATGATATTACGAAAGTAAGATCAGCTGTGTCAGAATGTCCTCTCGTCCTATAACCTATGTCGCTCCTGAGAAGATGTGGGTCTCACAATGGCAACGAGAGTATTCCATAAGGGCTGATTCTAATACTGCTTCTGTTCGATAAAGCTGTTAGTTCACAGCTTTAAGGACGATAGCACTTCGCCTTCCGGCATTTAGAATGTTAAATCTAACTACGGAGGATTGGAGAGAAAAAACTGATCTCGACACAATAGTGATTACCTCTTTGGCGAAGAATACTAAAAGCTATCACTGATATCCTTGCGCAAGCGACGCAGAATTGACATGTGAAAAATATGATGATTGTAAATTAATTCCTGTGATGTTCATTGATCACCCTTGTGCCGTTTCTACTGGCATTTTGAATTCAAGGCATATTGGAATGAATTAAGGGGCCGCCAGATATAAAAACATCTTCACCTGCTGATTTTTCTAACCAACCGTTGCTTCAATGATGTTTGAATGTAAATATTTGAGTATCATTCGGGTCCCATTGCACAATTTGGTTGGTCTTAAGTTTCTCCATATCGGGAGTTTCAAATTCGACTGTCACCATTGGAATCTTGGAAACCATAAGAGATACGATAGTGTCTACTTAATTTGGAACACTCTGTGTATGTGAGAGGTATTTTAGCTATTCATCTTGATGAGGCCGCATTATACAAAATTTAATTCAGATTATAATGGCTGAAAATGCGTAATTAACGCAGATTACTCAACGAGCTACTGTTATTTGCGTCTACGTATTTTGTTAAATAGCAGACCGGCGTTTCTGTGAATCGTTAATCATGGCGTTCAGAATTGTGTAGCTAAACAGCTAAACTGTTTTGGGGAAATGACGACAGCAAAATTAACTGATTCTGACTTGTACACGATTATTCAGCTAAACGGTTTATAGTATGTCATCTCCACTACGTGGTGCTCGGAGAGGATCAGGGATGAGAGATAAGCGAAAATTGCGTCAATGTATGGTAGTTGAATTAACTTTAAATGATACATATCTGCGTCTACTATATACAGGATGTTATGGATAATATTCGTAACTTTAAAAGGTAAATTATTGAATTATTCTAAGAAAAAAAGTTCATTATAACTTATGTCCGAAAAACAATTGTTTTCGAGGAAAGTGAGTCGTAAATAATTAAATTTTCTCAAACATTTGGCAACGTTACCACTATACGAGTGCATGCCGACCGCAACTAATTCATCAAATTGTTCACATTTGTATGATATTTTTGTTGAAAATATGCCAGGAATTATTGAATACTTTTACGCAATTTCTTGTGACTAATATTTTTTACTTAATAACGCTTTCAGTACAGTACATTTACAAAAAAAAAATGACAGAACTTACCGGTACGTGGCGATACACACCATCAATTCCCATGATTATCAAAAAAGAACAATATCCGTAAATCACATAAAGTTACCGTTAAATGTATTAGTAATCAAAACAACACGCGATGATAGGTACATACATGCAGTGCAGGCGGAATACGATGTTGCCAGTTGTGTAAGGGATTTTGTTTTGATTGTTTTTCTTCGGAAAATTGTATTTAAAAAGCAAGACAATTATTTTGTTAGAGACAGTTAATTAATAACTAGATGTATTGATACATTTTACGCTATTAGACATATGAATTTAAATTATTAAGGTGCAAAATTAATTTATTCCATGACCAAAAAGAAATAAGTTCAGCATTTTTTGTTCCGAAACGGTTGATTTTCCGACATAGGTTATAATGAACTTTTTTGCTTAGAATTATGCAAGGAATCACCTCTTAAAGTTACGAACATTATTTCCCTAACACCCCGTATAATCTGTAACTTCTGTAGTATTTAGCATATGGTTACCAGGCCTCGCCGAAAAAATAAAACTGATTATGCTATTGCTCTACAAAAAATTATCTAATATTAATAGATCTATCATGGTTGTGATGGAAGGAACAAGAAAGTAGTGGGGCAACTAGACCAAAAGTCTCCCATGTTTTACGTTTCTTCTTCATATATATATATATATATATATATATATAGGGTGTTACTTAATGATAAGCCGTAATTACAACTGTGCATTCCTGAATGAAATTCAAGTAGAGAAGCTCCTATAAACATGTATCTTAAACAGTCTAATTTCCAAGGTGTCTGAGTTTCAGAAAATTTGTTTTTTTTATATCTCAAAGATCCTTGCACCGATTATGGTAAATTTTGGCATTATTGTTCACTGCTAAAAGACGCTGGTTAGCTCTAACTATAATCATGATTTCTAGTGACGTCTCGGGAGGTAGACGCCAAAAAAATGTCCGTCACTGACTTTTTTGAAAACCTATATTCTTTGTAATTTGTCTCTTGAAATTGCTTCGTATCTTACTTTGTTTTCGAGGTAACAATAAACTTCATTACATGTCGAAAAACTGTTAAAACAAAATCAAATCAACTTTGCATTACAGGGGAATGTTTTTCTGCTGTTATATCTAATAATTTTTTTGACTTTCCGCGAAAACTTGTTTTCTTTTTCTACAAAACCCATTTTGTTCAATGTTTGACACCATGTATCGTAGAAACCAGACTTCTTAGGAAACATGTTTTTGTGCATTTTTTCTACATGGATTTGGTTCAGGAATGCACCGTTGCAATCACGGCCAATTATAAACTAACACTTTAAAAATTCGCTGGTTATTTCGTCACATCGCATACTA